TAATTCACTCAAATACACTAATACCTGTGCACTGAGATGACATAGATGCTGCTTTAGCTCTAGTATTCATTTGGGAATAGCCTACGTAACAGAACAATCATTGAGCCAGATGGATAGAAATATAGGAATCACTCTAAATTTTGCACACAAATAGAAGAACCACCCCTCTATGCAAAAACACTATGAGGGATCTTGTATATTAACTCAGTGTAGTTTCAAAAAATTATTTATACTAATAGGTGAAAAAACTGTAAATAACCTCAACACTGATTTACCATTTTAGAAGCAATTAACAAGTAGCAGTTAAACAATTTCTACATTAAATCCCTTACCTTATAGCCACAGAACACAGAGAAATTATCTGCACAAGAGAGAAACACTTTATGTGGTTGCTGCAGGCCGAAAGAAATCATTTAATTAACTATCAATAATTGACTTTTAATTTTAACCCTTTGACAAAAGAAATTTGAAACTTTAAAAAATCATAAATCTGAAACTACTGCTTTCCTAGCAATTTTACTTGAGCTGGAGTATTTATTCAGTTAGTTGAATAATTCGAGATACTTATTAGTTAAAATCTTTACATTAAAAATTTCACTTTAGACACCCTATGTATGTGACATAAACACAATTTGAGAAAAACCATTGTGAAGTTGTATTATTCCATAATGTTTGATAATTTTCTTAATAAATCCTATTGTAAAATTGAAAAAATTCCTATAAATAGAGAAATTATCATGGTATGGGTAACTAGCATTTCCTGCCGCGAACGGAAGTTTCCTATCCCTTTCATTTACTCTATTATCTATGGTCACACCCATTATTTGTATAGCCACACCCATTATTCATATTTTCACTGACTGATTAGTATTTGTTTATGTATCTAGAACTGGGAGATACTGAAACCAGGAGCAATACCTAATGAGGGACTGTGGTCTATGGAGAGATGTTATCATGCTAGTGCTATTATCAATGGTGACTCTACTTCACCTACACTAGTAGTGATTGGTGGAACAAAAAGGAATCAACTAGTTAATGAATGTTTGTTATTTGATAGTATCACTACTGGTCAGTACAGTTGTAGGAAGGTATGTGTGTGTATAGTACTGTAATGATGTGTGTGTGTATAGTTAGGTCAGTTGAGAGTATGACACTAGTACTGATGTATATTGATGATAGATTAGTAATTGTTAGTGTGTTCAGTAGATAACACTATCACTGATGAAACATTAACAATACAATAGAACCACCCACACATTTGATTAAAAATTACACTTTACGTGAACCAGCCTTAATGTGTGTGTGTGTGTGTGTGTACTATTAAAAAATTTCTTATTCTAATACCCTGTTCACACTACCCTTCAGAACTGTACTGGAACTGGGTTTTGGGGAAGTATAGTGTAGTTTTATAGCAAGTGTGAACATAACTGAACTGCACTGTAACCAAACCAAACCAGGCTAAAGTGGTGCACCAAAATAGGTGCTCTGAAATGGTGTAGTTAAGTTTTAAAGTGAAGTTGGTGTAGTTAAGTTGTGCAGTGTGAACTGCTACCAACATGGTTCTTTTATAACCAAACTAATCTAATTAGGTATAGTTCTGTAGGTAGTGTGAACACAGTATTAATATTGAGAGTTAAATTTGTACATATTTTGTTATTCTTCACATGATGTGAAATAAAATTTTTATTTTGTTTGTTGATGGTGAGGATTAGAATTGATTTTACAATTACAATAAATGTAACGATCATCTACATATGAAATGATACAATTTCTCATTTTATAAGTAACTGTATAAACATCATTTATCAGTAATTACTTGTATACTTCTCTTTATCTACAGATTCGTCTACCTGAATCTGTTACTGGCAGATACTATCACTCACTCACAGCAGTCACAATGTCACCACACTGTGTGTGGCTAGTAATTGTTGGAGGATGTAAAGAGTTTGAATGGAAAGATGTTGGAGGAGGAAAGAAGGAACCATGGATTACATACATCACTGATACTAATAGACTAATAATGATAATTGAATTAGGTAAGATAATATTAATCAATTGTAAGGATATGAGGATTAAATACATAATTACATTAAATAATGTGCCACTCATTTTTATAGTATGTACATTATTTGTAAATTTCAGTTCCTAATATGACATACATTTTCCATTCATTTTGTATACTGTACACACTACAATACCACTGTATGTGTGGGTGTGTATTTACAGCCACTATAAATGATACCATTAGTTTATAAGTTAAATATATTTATTTATAAATATATAATGTATCTTATTGTGTCTCAGTATATAGTGAAGCTGGTGAGTGGATAGTACAGTCAGTACTGGATGGTAATTATCCCACTAGTAAGAACTATCAAGAAAAGTATCAATCGTACAGCAAGACCAGAACATGGTGGATGGATCAGCTAATAGAAAATCCGACAGAGAGGGAAATGAAGCTTCAGAGATATATACAATCTTTACATGAAGACCTACAAGTGGCTCATGAGAGCAAAGTATCACTACAGGAGGCACTGGTTGAGGCCAATAAACAAGGTATATAGGATACTACACACACACACACACTTTAACTGTACTAACTGATTACTATTATGTAGTATTGTGTGGTTATTGGTAGTGTGAGTGTGTGTATTGGTACTGGTTTACATTATGATAGTTGCGGATTAGACAATGTTGAGTATGGAAATAGTATCCTGTACTCAATATAGGTCAAATTGTCCATGCATTAGAAATAATAAGATTCATTTAGAGTGAGCTCTGCATGCTTACCATATATGGTATGATTAGCAATAATCATAGTACATGTATTTATGGGCTACTGTACATGCAGTGCAAATTTGTATAAGCTAGAAATAATATTGAATATGATTATCTAATGGTTTGTACATTGGTTGAATTAGTCTTTGGTGTGTATATATTATCTGTATATTCTGTTGTGTTATTATGCATATACTGATTACTCTCTTCTTTTATAATATTATTCAGTTAAAGGTGATGACTTTATGAGGAGTGTATTAGAAGAGATGAGACAAGAAAAGGAAAAGTTGATTGAAGAGAAACAGATTATCACTGGTTAGTGTATCATCAGTACATAATATTAGATGAGAGAATATTCTATTAATGTATAGAGGATAATGAGAAACTGAAACTCAAAGTTAGCAATAATGAAGTATTTATAACTGAAATATTGAAAGAGAAGACACAAATAGAAGAGAAGAAACAGATTATTACTGGTTAGTGTATCATCAGCACATAAAAAATTGAGTTAATATTCTATTAATGTAGAAGATTATGAGAAACTGAAGCTCAAAATTGCCGAACTATTGGAAGAGAAGGAGGAACAATATCTCAAGGAGAAACAGATCATTATTGGTTAGTTAACTATACACACAGCATGTATTAGATGAGAGAATATGTTTATTGTGTAGACGACAATCAAAATCTCATTTCGGAGAAAGACAAAGTTATAGCCAAACTGACATCACAAGTAGAGGAACAATCACAGAATGAGAAACAGATCATTACTGGTTAGTGTATCATCATCAATCAATAATAACTATTAATTAGGGTGAGCCTGAGCTCGCCCCACATAAACGACACGAGTATGTTTGTTTGTTTGTTTGTTTGTACTGTACACGTACGTCACCCCTATTTATCCATATGAAAAAATTTCCACTTTTAAACTAGAAAGAATGTAAAACATTGAGGGGCTCCGCCTCCAGACCGCACCTCCCAGTCATGCCCAGACGTATGTTCAAGTTCTTGTAAGTAAGGGATTTGCCCAATAAACTTGATAATCTTCATTGAAAACGGGTGTGGTCACAATGAAATAAAAATTGCGGCTATCCAAACGGGAAACTCTTCAGCTTGCAAGTCACTATGGTCAACAAGATAAGACTGTACTGCTATCCAAATGCAGCAAGGAAGGTTAAGAAAACAGATATGCCATGTTTTTATTGATGTGACTAACTCTGATCAAGTGAATGTCAGTAACTCAGTCTGTATATACCTGACTGCACTTGGAGCACTACAAATAGCAAGAAGCCAAAAACTACTACATTGGTAGAGTTGCCTATCTAGCTATATCATCTGTGCAATGACTGCTTGTAGCTATCTTTAAGCTTGATAAGTGCTATAAGCAAGGTACTAACTTTCACTGCTCCAGAGATTACAAAAGGTAGATCATCAAGAACTGCATGATACATCAAGTTCTGAGCTGCATAGTCCACAAGCACAATCATGCATGAGTATTGTTAATCTGTCAAGATCTATTGTATATATGTATGACATTGATTTGCTTGCTAAGGCTCGCCCCTTCAATGTTTTACATTCATCTAGTATTCTATTAATTTATCTTGATAAATGTGATATCCTCAAACGCACAGCTCTACTTCATAGTCCTCCATTATCTTTGATTCCTTGTGCTTCACAAATTTTTGTGGGCAGAAATAATCAAGTTTAATAATTATTAATTGTAATAATTTTCGTGGGCAGAGAGCAAGAACAAATTATTTTCAACGTGATTTTTATTGCACAGCTATTTATACAAGTGAAAATTTCCCCTTTTACAGTAATCACTGAATTTGTATCATTAATAGGTACATTTAGATCTGATATTGCTCATAGAGTAATGACAGAAAATACTTCAATGATAAAGGAAAGACTTGATCTAAATACATTAGTAAATAAGCTACTTGAGAAGAGGATAATAAATGAAAGACAAAGGAATGAAATTACTGATCAACACTGTGGATTGACTGCTGATCAAAGAATGGACAAGCTACTTAGTTTAGTTAGAGCATCCATTCAAGTGAAT